CAGATATTTAGAGGCATTTCTAAGGTCCCCTCTCAGCCTTCTCTTCTCCAGGCTGAACAAGCCCAGCTCCCTCAGCCTCTCCTCGTAGGAGAGAAGCTCCAGTCCCCTCCTCATCCTCGTAGCCCTCCACTGGACTCTCCAGTAGCTCCTCATCACACCCATTTCCCTGCTCGAGATGGTTCCCCCTCACAGATCAGTGAGGAACACAGCGCAGACCAGCACCGGACTCTACCTGAAGGCAAAGCGTGGCCCCATTTCACATCGGAGCAAATCACAGCACTTCGACACGATTCAAGATTCAAGACAGAAAACGGCCGTTCTTTTCGCACCCTTGGGAGACCGCTGCTAAACGGCGTAAAGTGCTGCTTGAACATCCCAAGCACTTGGGCAAGCTCTACGTACTGGCAAGAAACGCCTGCTCTTTTATTTTACGGGCTTGCACAAGACTGCTGGAGATTTTGTTATATTCTGCTGCATTCAAGCAGCAAAAGTTTACAGTCTGCTTCTGCGGGGACGTGAAGTGCAAAGTTCCCCCATAGCAGCACGTGATTCCTTGCCCAGTTTTCTTTTCAGTAGCAGATTTTGAACATTAACAGTTGGCTGCTTTTACATAGTGAGAGCCAAAAAATCCTGGAAGCCGTTCAGAGGTTTAAGGCAGGTCAGCATTTTCACCAGCCAGTCTTTTTTACATGAAAAGGATTTCGTGGCTTCCAGGAGAAAGGGCTGAGTTGCTCCTACCTCTCCTCTTGGCTCACCTCCTCCCTCCTCCTTCCCCCTTCCCCATTTCTTTTCTTTTACAAATAAGAGCGTCTGAATTTGAAGATCCAGACCTTGTAGAATTTTTGTTGCAATTTTAACATAAGCAGACTGAACTTCCCTTTAATGTCAAGGATCCAAAGTTTCAAAATAAGTCTGTTCTTACCCAAGTGACGCATTTATTAAGTGATCAGGAAGCATGAAATAGTCCCTGTGCTCTGCAGATTAGAGATACGACACGCTTGTTCTCTAATAATTGAAATTATATAAGAGGTGACATACAAACGGACAGGAATAACTCCAGAGGACAAGTCACCAGAGAAAACCCGGCTGGTTCAAACGTGGTCTCTACATCCAGATTAAAGCACCAAAACGCCCATTCTGCACACCTTAGTGAATAGTTAGGCTTCTAATGCAGTTAATTCGGAGTCTAAACAGCCACACTGTGATTGAACTTTAACAACTTAATGCTGTGTCTACCGATACAGACACATAACCGGAATTTAACATGTGCAAAACCATTATCTGCAAAGCAAAACCACAGAGAGAGAAGCAATTATGCACAATGGCGTAAGGATCAACTTCCCATCTTCATTAACTGTTTTCTGTCCTTTGCTAACTCTCAAATGTTTCACAAATAGCATGTTCACATTCTGGGATGCAGGTTAAAGCCTCTGTGTTTCTAAATTATGAAATTCAGTGGCACTTCATGATTGTGAGATTTGGAGGTGATGCTCATTGAAGCTCAGGACTGGCAAAGATCAAGAGATCTTCCCAAAACCCTACCTTTTACCAAGATGAATAAGAAACTTATTGTAGCTGCCTATCATAAAAATATACCTTCCTGGAGCTACTGAGCTAATAGCTTAAATCACTTCTTCGAGAGGAGCAGGAGGGACCATGGCTCAGGGAACATGAAATACCTAGGGAAATGTTTACTCTTTTTCTACACACAAAAACTGGATAAACACCAAAGTAATTTTGACAGGGAAATCTCCAACAGATTTACCCTTCTGAGGTACCACGCGAAGCTGTGCAGACCAACAGCCACGTCGTTAAGAGTCATCCTTGCAGAGAGCAAACAGAGCAAGGGGAACGCACACCAGGAGATCTGCATCCAATACCCAATAACCAAGGAACGCAATCAACGGGGAAACCGGACCCCTGGCGCTCCCGAAACGCAGGCGCTGACGCGTGCCGCACGGGGAGAGCGAAGCGCTGGGTCGGCGTGAGGTGGGCTGCGCTTCCTACACGCGGACAGTTTGTCTGCTCTGTTCTGCAGTGAAAAGAATTCCAGGGAATTGCTGTCACGCAGAGAGCACCTTTCCAAATCGCTGCGCGCCCAAATCGCGTCCCAAGAGGAGGGGGATGACCAGACCGCGCATCCATCCCCCGCGGGGAAACGGCCTCCCCCTGCTCGAACTCACCCCGCGCCTGCAGAAGACAGATGAGGTCCAGAAGAACAGACTTGGTGAAAACCTCCCATTTTCTTTTTGCTGCTGGAAAGGATGATGTGAGAAGACCGCTCTCCCCACAATTTGCTACAGCTGTCCAGTTTCCATCAATCGCCAGAAGGTGTTGGAAAAGTTATTGTCAAAATAAAGGGAGGGAGGAAAGAAGGGGAGAAAGAGGCTCTTGTTTTCCTCTGAGTGCGAACACTAGCAGAGGAAAGCCTTGCTTTTTGAAAGCCTTGAAAAGTGGTTCCCCTACTGCACACCAACATAATTTTACACGACTTTTCCATCTGGGATACATTAACATAGCATTGGGATAAGCCACCTTCTTTTACTTTCCAGTGTTTCCATGGGAAAATCTAAGTTCCCAACATAAGAACCTCTGAGAGAGAATCTTCCCTGTGAGGAGCAGAAAAAAAAACCAGGTTCAGACTTAAAAATTAATTCCTGCAGACCTGCTGAGAAAAAGGATAGGGTAGCAAGTCTGAGCAAAAAGCTTCAATGCCTTGTCATGCCAGGAACTGGGATCATGCTGATGCTTCTCCAACACCCAGGTGAGCCACGAAGGCCACCCGGACCTCCGCCGGCTTTCACGTGGACAAGAAACTCCAGATGAACCCAAACTGCAGCCACGTACAATTTCACTGCCTTTAGGGTGACAACAGCCACCCAACCACGCGGGCCAGGCAAGGCCAACAGGACAGTGCAGCACGCGCCAAAATCCTCATTAGTAAGAGCAGCTCGTAAAAGCAGAGCACGCGCATTTTTGCCAGCTCTGCTGCTCCACTTCAGGCTTCGTTCAAGCCTTAGACCCGACTCCCAGCTCTGCTGAGAGGAAAGACCCAGCTGGAATCAAGCATCCACTTCTACTCACTCTGATCCTCCAGCCCAAGCAGGCTTCCAGGGGCTGCTGCTGGTCAGGGTGAAGCTCTGATTGTGGGACATCATGAGCAGAGAACGAAGGGCGTGTGATACTGCAACGACTTCTCCCACAATTCATTAACCTACTCCGCTACGCAGCTCAGGACAGCTTACATATTTGCATTTTAAGATCATGCACGCAGAAGCGCCTCAAAGGTTGCTGTAGCCTACAGGAGCTGAGCCCAGATCTCCTGATCAGCCAAGCAAAATATTAAGCACTAGTACAACTAACCTCCCTAAATTATCAACTTTTTCTGTTTCTTTTTAAGCCCTACATAAACTATTGGCAAAGTAAATCTTCTTGGTTGGAGAAATACTCAACATAAAACACGCGGCAAAGACAACCAAGCGAGGACGGTCCTGCTCGATGTCACACAGTCACTGCTTTTCTCCATTGCGCCTTTACAGTTACTGAACAGACGTTAATCTGTGTATGTTATTTCTCGAGATCTTTAACATTTGCAAGCTACAGATCACTCGAATGAAAAACTGTTACAGCAGCTACAGAAATCCACTGAAATTCACGTTAATTTAATCCTGCCCAAGGCTGAGCTGAAGAAAAGCAGTCATTTCTGAGGCACGGAGCCACTGATAAGGTGGCAGGAACAGCCACGGGGCACAGAGGGTAACCAGTCCTTTGTATTTATAATAACATAATCCAACAGTATCTGAACTACGACTGCGATGCCATCATCCATTCTCTTTCCTCTGACATCAAAGAACAGTGGCTATGGACTACATGGCACTAAGGGGAGGAAAATGCTGAAAAAACAGATGCCTCTAATTACTTGCGGTAGTAGGTGGGGATGGCAGCCCCAAATAAGAGCCACTGTCTGCCACTGACATCCCAGCTTCCTTACTGGACCCAGAATGTTGCATCTCGCTACATTAGCATCTCCACATTCATAAACGGGCATGGAGAGCAGCTGCAGGATAGAGAATGAGAGAAAAACTTGGTAGGAAAAAACCCAACAACGTCACTAGAATTAAAGGAGGCAAAAATGGGCTGGGAAGGAAGACGGCAAGACGCAAAAAGGTGAAGATAAAGTAGAACAAGCAAGATAAAATTCTTCCTCCTTCATCATGTAGAAGAAGAAAGATAAAATTCTTCCTCTTTCACAATCTAGAAGAAGGAAGACAAAACTCTTCCTCTTTCACCATTTCAACAAGTTCCCAAACTTTGCATCAAACCAGTCACTTCTCAGCCTCACACATCCTCACTGTCACCAACTGCCCACAGTTTCACCTACAAAGGAGCAGAAGACAGAGGGATAAAATTCACCTTGGTCGCTGCAGTATTAACGTGAATAATGCAAAACCACCCCGCTAATTAGCAAATGCATGTGTATCATCTAAAATAACGCTCGTTAAACTAACACTGCCGGCGGGTGCCCGGCTCTGCAGCGGAGCGAGGAGGAGCAGGGTGCCATCTCACCTATGATGCCGCTGTCCCGGCTCTCCAGCGTGGAGGTGGGGCTGGTGACGGCGCCGTAGGTGCAGTCCTTGGCGGTGCCGCTGGCGCTGGCGGGCGGGAGGGTGGAGCAGGGGCTGCTGGCGGGCGGCGAGGCCGTGCTGCTGGTCAGCGTGGAGCAGGGGCTGATGCGCTGCGTCACCGCCGAGCTCTGCAAAACAGGGGGGACACGTCACTCGCCACAGTCACTCGCTGCGGGGGCAAAGTCTGTCTATAGCTCACGCTGGAGCTCTGGGCACAGGAGAGACCTGGACCTGCTGGAGCGGGGCCAGAGGAGACCACAACAACGATCCGAGGGGTGGAAACCCTCTGCTGTGAGGAAAGGCTGGGAGAGC